TTTACGGCAAAGCCTAAAGGGTCCGGGCCCGGAAAACATTTTTTCTATGTACGGCAATACCAATATTTTGACGTTCGATCGGTCGACCCAAATGCCGATCAAAGTGGGCCCGGATGACACGGGCCCACCACTTTTCCGTCATTTTTCGCATTTTCACGGAAAATATTGTTATTGTTTTTTCTGTAAATTACACCTGCCTTAATTCAATTAAATTAATTTTTTATTAAATAAATTAATTTTTAACTAAATTTTTTGATAACGAATTTTCCGTAAAAATGTGAAAAATGACGGAAAAGTGGTGGGCCCGTGTCTTCCGGGCCCACTTTGATCGGCATTTGGGTCGACCGATCGAACGTCAAAATATTGGTATTGCCGTACATAGAAAAAATGTTTTCCGGGCCCGGACCCTTTAGGCTTTGCCGTAAAATCATAAAATAATACCAAAAATTATTTGTAAACCAATTTACAGTATATTTATTAAGACGGTCATTAAGACTCCATGAGAAATTACAGTAAAATCTTACCATTATCTTAAAATTTAGTTCTCAAATAATTTACAGTATAATTATGCACTTACGGCTACTGATAGTAATAAAAAATTGTCAATTATTACATCCAATATACTAAAGGTGTGTATTGTTAATTTACATTTTTAACAAGCTGAATTAATAAATAATTTTAAACATTAACATATTGCTATTTCTGGATCTTTCCATTCACAATTATAATAAAATTTTTAAATAATACAAAAATTATTTGTAAACTAAGTTACAGTATATTTATTATGATGGTCATAAAAAATTATAATAAATATCTAAAATTATCTTAAAATTTATTTCTCAAATAATTTAGTTTAATTATGCATGCAAATTATTTTTACAAGTAAAATCAAATTAAAATACTGAATATTATTTTTAAAACATATTTATTTTAATCAGTTATAAACTATTGTAAAACAAATTCAAAATCTATTGTTTATTATCAGAAATCATTACTAAACACATGTTAGGCCGCCATCGATGGGCAGAATAGCGCCGGTAATCATATCGGACTTATCGGACAACAGGTACAGTACAGTGTGGGCCACGTCGTGGGGCTGACAAAACCTACGGAGGGGGTGTTGGGCCAGCCAGGGGTCTCTCACGGCGGGGTCACTCCAGCCCACTTCACCCATCTCGGTCAACGTCACCGTAGGATTTACCGAATTGACCCTGATGTTATGTTGGCCAAGTTCGAGGGCCCACACTTTGGTCATGTTGTCCAGAGCCGCTTTGGTCGCCCCGTATACCAAGTGGTCTTTAATGCCTATCATACCGGCCACTGATGATAGGTTTACAATAGAGCCGCCTTTACCACGTGCTTTCATGCCCTGTGCGACCACCTGGGTGATGTTGATCACCGATTTTATGTTTACGGCAAAGTGTCTGTAAGGGGAGAGAAATAAAGAATAGTGGTTAAAAATATATTCCAACATTAATCGCTAAATAAAACTTTTCAAATAGAATAACTGTAACTTTTAAACTAAATACCAAGTAACTAACAAATTATTATAAATTAATTTACATACGGATGATTTATGATAATTCAATCAATTGTTTAATTATAATAGAATTCATATTTTTATTTAAAATTTAATGAATATTTAGAAAATAATACAAACCGATCGATAATCGCCTCATCGATAGCGCCCAATGGGGTTAAGGCGGCGAACGCGGCGTTATTAACGAGTAAATCAATAGCACCCGCCTTCTCGACGGCACCGGTAGTCTCATCCCATTTTGATAGATCACAGCATATGGTCTCAACTGATGGGTACTAAATGTATGGAAATTTAAAGTTTTAAATGTTACTTTATAATTTGTAAACGAGCTTGTTTAAAATTCAATTATTACCTCGGCTTTTAACGAATCGAGGTTACTCTGGGTTTTACTTAAAGCGACTACCCGTGCGTTTGCAGCCACTAATTGTTTCACTATTTCTCTCCCAATGCCTGAAAATAAACATGGTTATTTCACTTAAGCTACGTGTTTAAATAAGTAAAAATATTTTTTAAAAAGTATTTAAATTGACTTTGATTGAATTAATTAACTCACTCACATTAGCATAATTACCATTATCATTATTAATAATACACATAATTTAATGGATTAAATAAATTATGTTTATTATTATGATTCATGATTATTATTAATAAATAAAAGTAATTTTATTGTAATTTTTGTAATCAAAGGTGAAGAACATGATAAATATTTTAATAAAATATAAGTTGTAAAACTCTTTGATTGTCTCTCAACCAACATACAATTATTTCGTTAATTAATATAAACGAGCACACTATTAAATTATTATATTACAGTTTGTAAAATAAATACATTAATAATTAAAAATATTATCAAACCTGATCAAATCTTAGTTATTATATCAATAAAATTACACAAACTCTATTTATTACATACCTCTACCGGCGCCGGTGACCAACACGCGTTTACCATTAAAATTATCGCACATTTTAATCCTGGTTAATAATTATGTAAAAAGTTTGCACAATTTTAAATTAAATTTAATTATTATAGCAACACTAAAAATTAAACATTTATTTGTTAAATTCAATGGGATATCAATGCTAGAAATCTAATCAATAATCAATAGTTTGTGATATCGAATAATAAACTAAAATATTAGTTATATATTTTCAATACTAATCAATGGAAAATTATTTATATATTTTTACAGACATGAGCTCAACCAACTTAAAACACATATCAATGTTATAACTTATAAGTTATAATAACTAACTCATGTATTACTAAAAATGTTTAACAAATCCTTGAATTTAACTGCAAAACCAGACCTTTATATGCTTTGAATTATAAGTTGGAAATGAATGTTATTTATTATCATCTATTCAACATTGAATTAATTAAAATTTTATTTAATATTATATTTGAAAATAAATAAATTAATAAATTTTAATTAAAAATTTATCTATGTTTAATCAACACAACTTATTAGAATTAAATTTGTTAAAATTAAACGTTTGTACTAACAATTATTAATAAATTAAAATATAATTATAATTAGTTATATTTTAAAAATATATTTACAGGCTAAATATTAATCGCAAATTTTGTCGACCCGAAATTACATTGAACAATAATGTAATTATAAAAAACATCCGTTTTAATTTATATTACAGTACATAATAATAAACTATTTATGACAATAATGTAATATTTTGTAAAATAACCAGCGCATATTCAAATTGCATTACAAATACCTGAAATGAAATCGTTTTTATTAAAGTTAGATAGTTTTAAATTTTTTATTTATAATATGAAATTCAATATTTAATATAAATATAGCATACAATAATATAATAATTAAAAAGCAGTCATCCGTAATATTTTAACAATCTTAATCAGTATTTAAACAAGTTTTTAATTATATCATGTCTTTAAAATAATATATTAATAATTTTTAACTTAAAAAATCAAGCTTTTATATACCATTTTATATATTTGATATTGATTTTCTCTATGATTAAAAACGTATTATTTAACTTAAGTTGTTTTAATATAAAATATTTACTATAATAACATAAATATTAATTTAAAATAATTTATAATAATATTAATCTCTCTAAAGTATATTATTCAAAATACTTGTTATAAATCAAACGCTAAAATGAATTTTATGAAAACGAGTGAAGTATTGCCGGAAGGGGTGGTCATCGGGAAAGCGGGCACTCATTTCTATAGCACTGGTCTCTCATTATATAAACCATACATTCATTGCCACAGAAATGCAATCTATTATCCTATTGTCGTATTTTTAATTTTATTACTTGTTATTATTAAATACATTATAATACTATTAATACCTGAACAAGGTCCGAAATTTTATTTATTGGTAGGTGATCCAGGTTATTTTATTCACTTCAGAATACCTGAAAATATACTCAAGATATATTTAATGTTGATACCATTGTTGTCACAAATGGTTAATTATTATAACTATACCAAAAACATAAAACCCATTGATTTGCGTGTATTTCAAATGCATTGCGGTTTAATAACACCCATAAGCGTCGGGATTCATGACATACGTACTCTTAAAAAATTACTATCATTTTCTCAAAAATTTATATTTGTTGGCGAAATTATTGATAAAACTTCATATATCCCTCAAGTAATCATTATATTTAGTATATTTGGCCCAAACCAGACTTACTTGGAGATGTTTTTTTTTTGGGTTTACCCTATAGTTTGTTGTTTGGTTTGGTAGGGTTGTACGCGTTTAAAATTATTATTTGGCAATTAATTTATTACTTTATCATCACGTATTATCTGATACTAAGATTTGTCTCAATAAATCAGTTAATCAAACAATGTATTAAGAAGCATAATTTTTACCATCGTAATATAATAATAATTATTAGAGATTCACATAACTTGTTTGCCGACATTAATCAATACAATAATGTTTATTGGTCTAAAATATTGGCTATTTATTGGTTTCTAATTAGTAGCATTATTAGCACTCTTATATATATTGTATTCTTTGTTAACATAGTTTTAATTGTCAGGGTAATTATTTTAGTATATACACTATTTTATATGGTCACTCTGTTATATACAATTCATTACTCGTCTGTGTTATACAATCAAAGCAAATATTCTTACAAAATTTTGAACACACTATACATAACTGGAATTAAATATAGATTTATGAAACTTAAGGTTTGTTAATTGAATAATATTTTATTTACTTATGCTAATTTATGTTTATTAATCTTGTTATTTTAAATACATTTAGTTATTATTATTGATTGATAAATTGAGTTCAAAAAAAGTTGGATTTTATTGTTGGAAATTATTTCTCATTAATAGATTCTCTGGATTTGAAGTGAGTATTGATTTAAAATAATTTAAAAATAAAATAATTTAAATTAAATTTTTAATATTTTAGATGATTGGCCTGATTTGTGTGTTATTTCTTAAACTAGTGTAAATGTTAAAATTAATAGCGTATTTATGAAAAATATTATACATGTATTTATATTGTTAAACAAATACTAAAATTTACTTATTTATTGTTCTCTCTCTCTCTCTCCTCAAATAAATTTTAAAGTTTAATAATTTATGCGTATTTTGATACCAATTATAAAAATGAATTAATGTTTAATAAAAATTAAATGTCATAAATTTTAAAATTAATATTAATTATGCAAAAAATTTTGATCAAATTAAATATTCCATAATAAATTATTTTTAAAATTTTCTAAGGTCTACACGTTTTAATATAAACATTATTACAGTTTACTAAAATAAGTTATTATTTGAAAATATTAATTTATTAATTAAATTGTAATTATTATAATTTATGTTGTAGTGTATGTAATAGTTAGCTAAAATAAAAGTAACTTGAATTCAAGATAATAAAAATTAAATTTTTATAAAATCAAGTTCACAATAGTTTCATTAGTTTACAAAAAATAATACTTACAAAAATAATATTTATATTTGTAAAAAGCACCTTATACTATTTATTGAAATTGTATTAAATACGCAATATTACTAAAACTAATTATAATATTTTAATCATTATATACAACATTAATATTCAATCAATGATGCAGCTTGCTAACATGCTTGCTCAACATTAGTTATGCTTTTATTACAATAATAAAATTTAAAAATAAAATTTTATATAAAATAATTATAAAAATATTATTTATAATTAATAATTATTTTCTTCATTTTATCACGTAAATTATTACCTTGCACATTTACTTAATTTAAAATAATATATCCTTTAATATGCTTCTGGCCATTGAAGTTTAATAGTAAAATAAATAGCATTATTAAAGTAAAATGTTTGTAACATTTACAGTTTATATAAGTAAACATTATTAGTTAACCATAAACAACTGTTTACTTTTTATATAATTCTTACAAATTAGTAAAATGTTAAAAGTATATTTATACTGTATACACATTTTAATCAACTTGATGAATAGTAAACCAATAATGGAAAACATATATCTAATATAATTAACAAATAATTTACATTAATAATTAAATCAGGAATTTTTATAATAATTATTCATTTATTAATAAAATCAATACTGACTTCATATCCACAGAATCTATTGATAAGAAATAATTTTTTACAATAAAATTCAATCCTCTTTGAACTCAATCTCTCAATTAATGACAATACAATTGAAATAAAATTTATTATTATAATTATAAACTTTTAATTAATTTAGTTGACGTTTAATAAGTGATTAACTAAATAAATGATATGCGATATCTGATTGATTGTAAACAAGTGAGTTAGAAAGAGAAAGAGAAAGAAAGAAAGAGAGAGAGAGAGAGAGAGAACAATAAATAAGTAAATTTTAGTATTTGTTTAACAATATAAATACATGTATAATATTTTTCATAAATACGCTATTAATTTTAACATTTACATACGGATGATTTATGATAATTCAATCAATTG